GGAACTCGTGATGGCGTAGGTTTTGGTGAAACCCTTCCCTCAACAGGCTTTGAATCCGCGCCCTCTTCTCACTTAGCCGAGCCCCTGTTTCCGTGATTCCGGCTGCCCATTGGCTGCTAACCTCCTAAATCCGAAACGCCTAGTCCTGGAGTTCCTGAAACCGCCTGCCGGCAGCACGCCACTCGTGTAGACTTCCTGTGAAACTGGGCCATGGCACACAGACATCTTGGTAATGTGGTGCCGGTCGCTTCGCGTGCCGTTCCGCCCCGAGTACTTCGAAGGCCCGGAGGCACCCTCGGTTGCACGGCACCGCAAACGAAAAGCACTCATCCCCGCGGCCTGGCCAAGCTCGCTCGGCCACCCCGCCCAAAATGAGCTAATATACTGTTCTTCCAGGGCGGGGGTGCCGCCCGCGCGACGAGGAAAAATTATTTTTCCCTTTCCGTCGGCCCTTCCCTCCGGAGCTTAATCCTTTGCGGGCGCGCCGGCGAGCGGGGCGGGGTTGGCGGCCGGCCGCGGCGGACCCCGCCGCCCCCGGGCCCACAGAAAGAAAACGAAAATAACAAAGAGGGAAGAACAGTTGCAGAACGGCGCGCGCGCAACGATAACCACGCACTAATCGCGAAGGGGGGGGTGTTCTTTTGGGCGGCGCCCTTCCCCGCCTGGCCCCTGCCGGCCGGGCGGTGCACGCCGCGCAGAAGCTACACGGGCAGAAAACGAATGGCAACCGAGGCGCCGAGGCCGGAGGAGAGCATTGCAGGCGCCGCGGCGCCCAGAGACCACGTCCCACCGGACGCCTTTAGCAACAGCTCAAGGGCGAATGCCCAGCTCGCGGCCGTTCGCTCCCCCCTGCCCGCTTCCAAAAGGAGGCGGATGGCGGGGGGCGTGCCGGCTCCCCTCTGGTCGCGGATTTTGCCATGGAGCAGCGCCATGCATTGCCCCAGGTGGCAGACAGCCTCGTCAAACTGCTGCTGCGACAGCGTGCTGGTTCGCAGGGCCTCCCCCAGGGCATCCGAGACGTCGTGGGGGACGCCCTTCGTGCAGCAACCGACGATGGCCGCCGCCGTGCAAAGCTGCTTTGCGGAAAGCTCGCGCCGACACGAACCAAGTTCCTTCGCCGCTTGCCAGGCCGCTCGCTCATTGCAAGCCGCGGCGGCCACGCTGACGCCGGTGAGAAGAACGCGGGGGATTCTTTCCGCCGCCGCCTTTGCAACCCCCAAGGCCGCTACCCAGGCCCCGATGGATCCCAGGCGGAGCGCCAAACCCTCAGCGTAGCGGTGGCCAGGGTTTTCGAGACGCTGGTAGGCCCTGACGCAACTTTCCCAGGCCGCAGCGAAGGGAACCCTGCCCTCAAGCGTTGCTATTCTCAACCAAACATTGTACGTGTGAAGGTTCTTCACCGTCTGCGATGCATAAAATCGAATCGCCCGCTGCCATAAATTCCCCTTTGCCAAGGCCATGAGGGCATTATTGTGTACCGCGGCATGCCGGCATTCATTCGCCGCAAATAAAGGCGGGGTGACCTGGTAAAGAAGCAGCACCCTTTCCCACTGCATCGCGTTGTTCATTAGCGCCATAACTTTCCCAAGAGGAATTCGCGCCGTGTCTTCGACTTTGCTGTTGTAATGCACCAAAAATTCCATGGCGACACGCCATTGCCCAGGGGAACTGGAAGAGAGAAAACAATCAATGGCGCGCTTGGGTGGTGGTTTCCCCCCATTTTGGCAGCTGTAGGTCCGGATGAGTTTTTCCATCCGACTTCCTATCGCCAGGTCGCGCGAGACGGCAAACCAAAGGGCAAGAGCCACCACAACACTAACCAAATAACCCTCATCTTGAGTCACCACTTCATCCTTCAAGTGAGAGACTAAAGCACAGGCATGGCGCCATCCGTGGCGCTGTAGCGAAGCCACACGTTCAATCACATCCAGAAAACGAGAACGCGGGCACACCTCTAGAGCGCTCTTCCAATGCCCTCCCAATGCGAGCCCCATACCTACATCCACACGAACGTCATCGCTTAACCCACCCTCGGCATTTGTCATTTCTCTAAACAGTAAGAGTGGGAGGTTGGGGCTCAGCTGCGACAATTGCGGTGATCGCATAAGAAACCGATAGTGCGAGACACGCACAGGCACCCCAGCAAGTCGCGCCTCCACGAGGCACTGCAATTGCTCTAGAGTTAGTAAGTGATTTTCCCTCGCAGATCTCACATCGTCGTACGTATATAAGCGATTCGCGGTGGAGTAACACGCTAAAATGGTTTCCAACGTGTTAGCCTTTCGCTCAGGCGTGCCGTTCTTGAGAAGCTCCCCACGCAACTGCCGCAGAAGCGACAAAGCATAAGCGTCGACGGTGTGTCCGGGGAAGCCTTGAAGGTGCGCACGGCACACGCAATCAAAGACGCCCGCACCATCGCGGCATCGAAGATACGGCGGTGAGGCCAGGTAGCTCCGCAGCGCCTGTGCCCAAGACATGGCGCCCCAAATTCACTCACACACACCCCACCCACCCACTCAGCGCCGAGAAGAAACAGAGAGAAAAACAAAAGACACATTTTCATTTTATAAAGCCACGGTAGCCAAGCATGAAGGAGCAGAGTAAGCCTACAACAAGGGCGAGAAGGGAGTTGCAAGGGAGCCGCCACACATGGTAACAACAGCTGTCGTGTTTTGTTTCCCTCCACTCAACCGATGTCGCCAAAAGGCATGCAAAGGAGAAAAAGATCTTTGAAAACAAATACTTTGTCAAGTCACGCATCATGAAGTAGGGAAAGGATAAGTAAAAAAAAAAAAACAGCAATACACACAGAAGCGCTCATGTACACGCACGCGCACCCACAAAAAAAAAGGCAGACCGAAAAAAACTGTACTCAAAAGTTTGTTTTCTTCTTTATCTTGAATCCGTTTTATTTGTTTCTTTCTGAAGTCCATTTCGTTTGACCTTCACCAGCCGTGGTGTTGGCGCGAGTTGCTGCTTGCTCCATCGCTCAGGAGCGCTTCCCCCTACAGGTGGTTCACGCCACTGGCGAAGACGAGCCTCTACCTCGTCAGCCAAGATGATTTGCGTTTCCTTCGTTCGATAGGCGTCATGGGTGCGCTGCACCTCAAAACGATCCACCCCCACCTTTGCCTTGACCCACCATGCATCGCCCAGATGGCGCCCTAACAGCGGTTCTGTGGCAAGAAACTTAAACGGCATACCATCCGCACGCCGCCCATGGATACATACGCCACCGTCCTCCTCAAACAGTACTTCCACAATGCTTTCACCGCGAGAGCCATCACCCGCACAATACGAATTATCTGCGGCTATGCGCAAGAGACCAGGCTGCTGCACAATACTTGGGGTGTCACCTGCAGGCAGGTGACCGCCGCAAACAATCGCTATCCCGCTTCTATTCAGAAACTCCACCACGCCAAGTCCCAAGTAGTGAGGGCCATCTGGCTCAACAAGGGCGTGAACCACCACAGAATGTGGAACGAGAGAGACTGGAAAAGCGTATTCTCGCAACAAGGCTCCATCACCACCTGACGCCCATTGCCTAAATTCCACCTCTTTAAAATCATTTAAAGCGTCAAGCCACTCATCAGCCGTGGCATGTTTCATCATCACGTTACATTGTGGCAAGGTTGCCCCGCCCACGGAGGCATGCCTCTGCGGGAGTATCCCAGCATTCTGATCCACCACACTTCCGTGAACGAAAAGAATACCATCCAGCACTTCAGCTATCTTCCCATGTTTCAAATACTCATAATATACACCTCCAGGGTATGCGGCATCCATAAAACTTTGCGCCACCTCGGCATCAGCCACGGGCTCCCCACTGCTCCGCATCTGTTGCAGCTCCTTCCTTCTGCGCTCAAAAGCTGTAGGGGCCCCCATTTTGTACGTCAAAAGCCACTGAATAAACGTGGTTTTAGTCACTACTGGTGGTAGGCCATTTTCCTCCAAATACTTCGCATACGACAGACATTTAGTGCAATCAGAAAACTTTGACAAGGCCACTGGAAAAACCAACATTTGGGCCGCCTCCGGCGATAATTGTGCTGCGTCCACAAGTACCTGTCTAATAGGGGCGCCAAACACCATCTTGTTGAGGTCACGATTCCCCAGGATGAGATGCACACGTGTTGGGTAGGCGTCACGAAAGTCCAAGAGCGCCTTGGCAAAGGTAATGTCGTCACCGTGGTCAAAAACGTCACCACCGTACACAAAATGAGAAGTGCTGTCACGGAAAGTGAGATGCCCATTGGTCCAAGAAACAACTTTGCTTTGATCGGTGTAGCGAATAAAGTATGAAAGGTTGCCTTCCACGTCCGTCACAAAAGCGGTGCGGCGGTGCATGCCACAGCGACGCAGCATATACTCCGCCTCTGTAGGCTTCCCTCGTCCTCGCATTTCAAGACCGGCGTGTTAAGAAGGGGCGCAGCGGCATACATACGTACAAAGTAGACAAAAAAAAGCAAGCAACAACAACAACAATGATCGGAAGATATGTTAAAATGCACAGGGGAATCACTGCAATTAATAACAGTAATAGTAAAACAAGTGCAAGAGGTGTGCTTTACTTGAGCCATACATATTTGGAGGGCGGTGCAAGGAATGAAGAGAGGTCTGCATGTGTGTATGGTGAAGCTCAGCGACAAGATGGCAATCACACACAAACACAGCAAAAAAAAGGGAAAATAATAAAGAAAAAAGAAAAAAGAATTGGAAGAAGGCCACACCCTGTCACAGATAGCAGGGGCATGCTCGTTTTAATTTCTTTTTAGGCACTACTTTCCCTCCTTCCCATCTCATCTTTACGCCACAACACCATACACGGTTAATACACAGTGCATTGCCTTAGTTTCTGCGTGATGCACATAACAGGCATCACTTGCAGGGTTCCAAGAACACGCCGAAATGGCGTTAAAACCAGCACCATTATTCTGAAAGACGACACAGTGCGCTATGTACTTTCTAGGGAGCGCCGCCTCCTGTGTTAGACGCTGCACAACGTTCTCCGTGATGGCAGTCACGATGGCGGGGACATTTTCATGTTGGTAACTCATCACCGGCATGAAGTGCCGCGCTACCACCTCCTCACATATGTCCTTTGCGTCATCGGCAAGTGTGAGCTTCTCCGCCATTTGAATAATCTAGTTCGTTTAACCAAGCAAAACCTTTTTTCCCCGTTTATTCTAAGCTATCGTTAAATATCCGGGGATATACACAGCAACCGCGAATCCCGCGCCGTCCTTTTTGTTTTCCTTTTGCTTCACCTTCCCTTCGCCCTATAGTTTCCCCTCACTCGTCCCCGTGCAAAGGAAAAAACGCTAGCGCCAAAACAAGCATCAATGGTGCAAAAAAAAAAAAAAAACAGGAATGCATGTCAGGACCTTCAAGGTGCAAAACACATATACCGCAGTCCTTTGGCGGCACCACATCCTCCACAACTCTTCGCTCCACGCCCGAGAAACGCGGCAAAAGCAGAAAAAAAAAACTAAAAACTTTTTTTTAGACATTTGGCTCCACAACTTCAGAGTCCCCCATCCCCAATTTCTCTAGACAGCTCTTAATATACCCGGCTCGTCGTGGGTCCAAATCCATCGCGGTGTAGTAGTACTGTAGCGCCTGATCGGGCAGGCCCATTAGATGCACACACTTTGCAAGCGTCACGTACAGCATTGCCTCATCCGGGCACTCTTTCGTCATCCCCAACAATTCCCTGCGGGCCTCGTCGAGGCGACCAAGATGAATCAACACCTCCGCACGTTGATGCCGAGCACCAAGATTGCTTGGGTGTCGCCGGATAGCGTTTTCGTAGATGCGAAGCGCCTCATTCAAACTCTCCCGTGAGGCACCACGTCGGTGATATGTGGCGGCATATCGGTTCACGATGGCCGGCAGAGGATTAATACTGAAGGCTTGTCGAAAGTAATGGCGTGCCTTTTGCAAATCTTCGTTTCTAAAGTATAACTCGCCGAGGCCGGCGTAGGCGTTGTAGTGACCAACATCGATCAGAATGGCCTCGTGAAATGCATCCGCTGCCTCAGACTTTAAATCCAAGTACAATAGCTCGTATCCACGCAGAGCGTGGGCGGAGGCAAAGTCATGATCCACTTGAATGGCGCGGTTAAGCATACAGAGAGCCTCCTTTGACTCCTTTACAAGACTGTGCGCGTTAGCCACAACACACAACGTGATGGGCGAGGTAGGCATTTCGTTAATAAGTGTTTGCGAAAGAGAGCCTAATGTTCCCATCTCCTTGCGTTGCCACAGGGCAGTGCTATAGTACACCAGCGCCGGGTCCGCCAGTCGCCACGGCTCCACACGCCTCATATGAGCAAACACCTTGGTTGCGTTCTCCACATCGCCGTCGTGAAAGTACGCCATGGCGAGTGCGCCCAGTGCCCATCCTGAGTCTCGCTCGGGAAAAGTTTCATGTTTAAGCAATTCCTGTGCCTCTTTGCATCTATAGGTCCACTGCATAAAAGTCACAGAAGCAAAGCGGGACAAGTGGAGTCGCACTGCCTCCCGCTTCCTATGCCTTTGAGTGCCGCCCCCCTCACTCATTGAAGAACGACGCATGACATCTTCCGTCAATGCTACAGGCATTGTCGCATCGGCATATATAGAGCACACTTCTTTGCGTGGGGTTAGTGTCATCTTAATATGGTTCTCAAACGCCATAAAATTAAGTGGATCTAACAGGGCACTTTTTGCGAACGTCTCTTCGGCGTAACTACGACGAAGATGCTGACGACACACACCCAACCAATATAGTACCTCCGAACTTGATCGATGCCGCTCAAGCTCCTCAAGAAAGCCCTCTCCCTCCATGTACCGTTGCGTCATACCACATGTCACCCCCAAAAGATATTGACAGTCCCATCGCGCCGCAGCATCGGCAGTGGTGCCGCTTCCACCACCAGTGCTGTGGCCACTGTTATTGCTATTTGTGGTGTTTGAAGCAGCAGTAGTTGACATCAAAAAGGGGTAATGCATCCGCAGAAGCCGGTAGGCTGTTCCAGCGTCCCCACTTGTAACATAGCAATGCGCCAGAGTGTGTAATGATTCATGTGTCGGTGCCAATGCATAAAGTCTCTCCGCACAAAAAATAGCATTGGAGTACAAATACTTCGCAAGACTATCCTGCACAGCTTCCTTTAAGCCTTGCACAGCGAGGGCTTCCTGCCGCTCTCTATAAAAAACCATGTTTTTTTTTTTCCTTCTTTACTCAACTAACAGTTATACATGGATGAGCGTACATAGTGAAAGAAAGCTCAGAAGCATGTGCAGTTTATACTTCAAGTTGAATGCGCCGCTCCAGCAACCTCATTTTCCAAGAGCCTCCCGCCCAGCCCAAGCAGCATACCTTCTTCACCCTGCGCAGAGCACAACCCCCCTAACAAGGAGAAAAACAACAACAAAAGGTAGTCCCAGAAACAACTTTATCATCTCCCGTCCTTTTTTTTGCCCCCTCGTTCTGTAGTTTCCAACTAAACTTTAATGAATTCCGTGGGTATTCCCTGTTGTTCAATCTATTATATTTCTTTTCATCCATCGCATGTATCTTTGGAGTGAAGAGGAGTTCTCCAAGGACTACGAGAAAAACTCCTTTAAAAAAAAAACACCCATCCTCTCGAGTGATTCTATCTAATGGAGCACCCGTTCACGCCATCGTGTGAGCCACCCCCACTCTTGTACTTCTTCACGCGTGACCTGCCCCTGACTCAAGGCGGGTAATTTCTGAATAGCCCTGCGTGTTACTCACCTGGTAAAGCACATCCGCATTGTTAAACATCCCGTCTTTCAGCGAGACAAGAAGAAATTGGGAGGATGGGAAATGTGTCTGCAGCATACACCCAATATTTTGCGTGTGACTTGGGTCAAGCGCAGCATCCACTTCATCAAGGATGTATACAGGCGCCTGACGTACACGGAGAATTGCTAAAATGAGGCATAACGCAAGCAACGAGCGCTGCCCACCGCTCAGCTCCGACAGAGACTCTTTTTCCTTGCCATTAAACATGACCTTCACCTGAAGACCGCAGAGATGTTGCCGATCATCCCGCTCCTCCCGCAAAACGGCCGCGGCACCGGGTAAGCAATTTGAAAAAAGTTTGGAAAAGACACTGCTTACAACTTTTACCATGCGATCCAGTGCATGCCATTTCTTTCCTTCAATACCTAGGATACATTGCTGAATGGCATCTCTGTCCTCACCCAACGCGGAGCGCTGCAGCACTAACTCATTGTATTCCCTTTTACGTTCCTCGTAGAGAATGGTGGCTTTTCGATTTAAACGCTTGGACATGACGGCGGCCTGAGACTCCGCCTCGCGCAATTCCTGCAAGGTGGCAGTCGTTCTTGCCTTGTCGTCAAAGTAATACGGACCTTCACTTCGTCCGAATGTGTGTCGTTCCTCCACCAACCAGGCATGGCGCCGTTCTGCCTCATGTACAGATTTCTGCAGTTCCTCTGTTGCCTTAGCCGCGTCGCGGAGATCCACCTCTGCATTTTTTATAACTGCCTCAAGGGAGGACTTTTTTACCATGAGCTGTTGTAGTTCCTCTTGTACCTCTTCTACCTCCTTCTCAAGACGTGTCCGTTGCTCCTCCAATTGTCGTAGGTGTTCTACCACATTCTGCAACTTTCCGCCTGTTTCACATAGTTGCACCTTGGCTTCGTCACGGGCGGCAGTACGGTGTGACATCTCTTCTTGCACGTCTGCCATCTTGCGCTCCAGATCTGCCGCCAGCTGTGTGATGTCCGCTTCCATGCGGTCAAACTCCGCTGACCCCGCCTCCTCCTCACGGGCGAGTGCACTACATCGTTCCTGTGCTGCAGTGAGTTGTTCGTGGAGTTCTTTGCGCGCCTTGTCAGGGTCTTCACGGGTGTGTTGTTCGAGCGCCGCTTTACGCTCCTTCAGCTCCCGCAGTGCCGCGACCTCCACCTCATGTTTGCGTCGTTCCTCATCAAGCGCGGCACCCAACTCCTCCACTGGACCATTGTTATCGCCACGTTCAAGCTGCAGTTTGTGCTCTGCCAATCCTACCGCCTCCTCCGCCTCCTTGTACCGCCGTATAAGGGGCGCCTGTTGCCGCAGCTGCTCCTGAACATCCTCCAGCTCCGCCTCCACCCGCGCAATCTTCATCTGTAACTCCTTTACAGGGGCTTTGCGCTGATGGTACACACGAACCTCTGCAAAAATATCACGAAGGTGCTGCGTCGATCCACCCGTCATGAGCCCATTCGGCTCCACCAAATCCCCGTTAAGCGTGACAGCCTTGCATCGTACGGCTGGATTGTAGGCAAGCTCCTGAGCCAGGGCCAGTGAGGAACAGACAAAGAATTGCCCGTACACATGCTCCACTACGATGCGATAAGATTCATCTTTAACTTCTATCAGGTCTTTTGCAATGGCAAGAAAGCCCCCCATTCGTGCAGCAATCCGCTTCGCCTCCTCCATACGTGAACCGTCAACACCCTTTGAACGCTGTAACGTGTTCAACGGAAGGAATGCCGTGCGTTGCCGCAGCCCATGACGAATAATCTTTTCTGCAACAAGATCATTTGTTACAACAACACGCAGTAGTTGTGTTTGCGCCCCCACCATCAAAGCCATTGCATACTTTTCTTCCCTTGGTCCAATGAGCTCTGCAACCCGGCCATAAATATGTTGGTCAAGATCTGGGCACGCGCGACGGTCGTAATCCACGTCAAAGCCACGACCCCCATTGCCCATCTCACGCTGCAGTGCATCGTTCGCTTTCCAGTGCTCTGCCTTTAGCTGCACAAGTTCCTCCTGCAGTGCACGTCTCCGCGACTCAAGAGGAGCCACCGCTGCATACGAACCTGCCTCCGCATCAAGGCGCACATGTGCCCTCGCCAGTTCTGTTTCAAGCTTCGCAATCGTCTCACTCCGCGCAGCCGTCTTCTGCACAAAATGTTGCAACTGCCGTTCCAGCTCCTTGACACGCTCGTCACACCGTCTTGCTGCAGCACCGTAGTGGATCATCTGGCGTTCAATGTCGGCACGTTCTTCTTCTAACGACATGCCGGACATACCGGCTCGCACCCCGGAGATTTGCAGCTGTAAGGAGCGCTTTAGCTTTGCAACATTTTCCTTCTCTATACAGAGACGCTCCACAAGTACGTCTCGCTGCTGCTTTTTAGACGCAAACTTCTCCATTCTACCTTGTTGTTTCTCCTTTTCCTTTTCCAGTTTGCGGAAATTGTCCTTGAGAAGGTGCAAGGCCTTTTCGGCCCCCTCCACTTGTGCCTCATCTCGCGCTAGCTGCTTTTTAAGTGAAGCCTCCTCTTCGTGAAGGGAAATAAACGCCTCCGCAGGAGCAGCAAGGGCTTGCTGCAATTCCATCAGTCTCCGCGTAGCGGTATCCTCTGATGCGGGCAGGAATTGCAATTGTTCCTTTGACGAGGCGATATCCCTCTCCAGTGCGGCGCGCCTCTCCCTCCGCTGCTCCAACTGCTTTAGCTGCTCGTCATACTCAAAGGCGACACGAAATCGACGCTTCTCCTCGATGCCCTCGCTCATCTGCACAAAACGTTCATACTCATCCTGATCTGCCTTCATGGCAAGCAGCATTGGGCCTATCTGTGTCTCAATGTTATTGTCAATCTCCTCCATTTTTTTTTCCTTGCTGCGAATCAAATTCTCAGCAGTGCGTCGACGGTGGTCAAACGCCTTCGTTCCGACCGCTTCTTCTATGAGAGAGAGAATATCCTGGGACCGCATGCCAATGAGTTTGTGTACCGTCCCCTGCAATACCATAAAGTGGGGATTGTCAACGTTAAGGCTGATGCTCTCAAAAAAACGCTTTACCTTGCTCTGCATGGAGACGGTGTTATTCAAGAAAAACTGCTGCTTCCCACCCAGCTTAATCTGCCGCCCAACTGTGATGATGGGATACTCTTCACAGCTGTATCCAGGCGGCGCGGTACGAGGGTCATCGTTAATAAATTCAATCGTGACGCGCGCCGCATGAACACCTGTTGTACCTGCCCGAAATATAAGTTCCCGCGGATCCTCTGCACGAACACGTTTCAAGTTGGTGATACCCATAACAAAACACACTGCATCAAATATATTTGATTTTCCACTACCATTGAGACCGGTAATAGCGTTGAAGTGTGGACTCAAGTCCTCAAGGGCCTTGCGATGGGCATATGACTTGAATCCGTCAATGACGATGCTCTTCACACGCATAGCTTCCCTGCTCAGTGTGTGAGAGCCTTCACTACAACTACCGCTGCCGCCGCCACGATCAACGGGAAAAAATGAGAGAAGGGAAAAAAGTAGAAACGGGAGTAAACGCGTGGCAAAGAGGTTATTTATCGGCATTTGGAGTGCACAGCTGGATCGAGAGGAGCTTTGCGCACGGCTCCCTCTTCTCTTACCTCTTTACGGGGACAAAATCCTCCTCACATCTCCCCCTTAACCTCCTCCTCCATAGAGATCCAAAACCACGTATACAAATACAAAGCAGGAAACGAAATTGTCTTTGTTGTTGTTGCTGTCGTTTTTTTTTTTTTCGTAGAGAGCATGATGGGCGCAAAGACGAAAAACAAAAATAAAAATCAAGACAATGAGCAAGAAAGAAACAACAACAGCAACAAAAAAAAAAGACGACCACTCACAAAAATAATAATAACACATGCATACGCAGACAAGCAAGTAAAAACGACCGTCAATAGAAGACATCTCTTTCGGAAACTCCTTCATTCCTCTCTCTCTCTCTC